TAATTCCTAGTCAAGTTCGATATCATCATCTAGAATTGAGTCAAAATGCGCTAGAAGTTTGAATTTGATAATTGATTTATATAGCTAAAATTGGTTCGTGAGCGGGCAGGAATCTTTTCTGAGTACTATTTCGAAATCTGTCCCAGAATCCCCTTTTTCCCTATATGATCAGACTGGTTTATAAAACCAGTTTATATGACCAGTTTAACAATTAGTTCAAATCAGTTCATATATATTTGAAACTTTTTTATTTATTAAAATTTTTATATCAATCAATATTAGTATTATAAAATATAAAAAATAATAAAAAAATAAATAGGAATCTCAACAAAATTGCCTTTTTTTAAAAAAAAATTGTGAAATTTAAAAAATTTCATACAATCAACAGTCTTGCATCAAAATGTTAATTCTTAAAATTTCTCATTTTTTGTTATAATATAAACCAATTCAAACTGATCTCTAGATTACAGACTAAAGATCTTATGAATTATTTATTAATCAATTTGTGAACTGGTTTTTCTAGAACTAACCCATCCCTATATATATGCAACCCAAACTATTTTATCAATATCAAAAGTCAAAAATATATATTCTTACTACTTTTTACTTTATACACTTATTATAAGTATAATCATAATTACTATATTATATATCAATAATTATTATTATATCAAAATATTTTAGGTTATATATATATATTTTTGAATAAGTAAATTATTACTATTTTATATTTTTGAAAATTCTTAAATACTCTTGAATGATTTTAGATAATTCTTTTTAATAAAATAACCATTAAATAATATTATAATATATAGTTAAATGTGATAATATTATAATATTAAAAGATATCATTAATTTATTCTTTTATTCTTTTTAGTTTTTATCTGAAGCATAGCAAAGGACATTTTACTTCTAAGTCATTTAAATGCAAAGTCATTCTGTCTGTACAAATTTAATAAATCTGATAGACCAATAAAATTTTATTTACGTTATTACGTGTTATGTCTTTTGTGTTATAAAATAATTAATTATATAAAATATGATATTATAATTTATATACCATGCTTCAGACTTTAAACGAAACCCATTTTCTAGTTTTTAAATACTCTTTAAATGCTTTTAACCAATTTTTATTAGACAAAATAACTAATAAATAATATATTAAAACCTCTCTAAATGCATTCTTTCTAAATACATTTATTATATATTTTTTTATAAATATATATTTTATACAGCTTTAAGTATATAAAAATTATATTAAATTTCTTTTCTTTAAATATATATGTATATCAAATTTTTATTATAATTTTAAAAAATGCATTTAAAAAGATCTTATTATATATAATAAAATATATGATTAATAAGTAATATTAATAATATTAAAAATATTTTTAATATTTTTTTTAATTTTTTAGATTTTTTAAATATTATTACATGGCTGGTGATTAAACAGACTGAAATATTTAATCAGTTAAGATTCAGCTCAAAATCTTCTTGTGTGAAAGATTTACTTAAGATTCAAAAGGCATTCAGATGTTTATTCACAATCAAATTTCTAAGTTAGAGAAATATAAGGATTTTTCTAGCTTTTCTAAATTTAGAGTATTAACAAGATAGATAGATATGTTTTATAGGTAAAATAGTTTTATATTGTATTCAAATAATCTTTTAGATAAAAATTAGTTTTAATAAGTTCTTTTATTATTTCTTTCATATATTAATATGACTAAAGATACAAAATTGAAATCTTCTGCTATTTATAAATTTTTTGTACTAAGTTGCTAATGTATTACATAAAATTTACCATCATTTTATTACCTCTCCTTAAAATTCTCTTTTAGAATCTCTAATTTTAGTTTGATTACATATTTCATTATAGGTTAAGTTATTACTTCATTTTTTATTTTTCTTTTAACTTAGTTTTAGTAAATTTAAATTTACAGATCATCATTATGTCATATGATTGGTAGATTATCTAAAGATCTATATATTAATCATCTTTATTGTACTATAATTTGAAAATCATTTGGATAATAATACTTTTAGGTATTTTTGGATAAATTTTTTTAAATAAAATAAGTAAATGATATAAAATAATATATTTTGATATAATAATATTAAAATTCAAAATAAATTAAAATAATTTGAAAATTTTCAATTTAATTATTCAAATATAATAATATGAAAATAAATAAAGTTTAATTTTAATTAAAGAAAATTATTAAATTTATTTTTAAATCAGATAATAAATAATAAAAATCAATATATTTATATTTTATTAATTTTTAAATTTAATAAAAAAAATATTAACTAATTTATCAAAAATATTTAATTTTTTTTTAATAAATTTAAATTATATTTTAATTTATTATAATTATTTTATTTTATTTTTTATTTTATTATTAAATAATCAAAATTATTTGAAAAAATATTTTATCATATTTAAATTTAAAAAATGATAATTTACATTTTGTATAATTATTATTATTTTTAATATATTTTTATTAAATTTTTTTAATTTTATTTATTTTTATTTTTATTTGCTTTTATAATTTAATTATTGAAAATAACTATAATTTTGATATTTTGGTAAATAAAAGAAGAAAAATCAGAATAAAATACTAATTTTATAACTTTAAAAATTAAAATTAATGAAATTTTAATCTTATTAATTTTATTAAAAATAATATTAAATCTGAATTGTAGCTTTATAAAAAATAATAATAAGCATTAGTAGATAAATTAATATATTAATATGTCTACTTAGTTTAGATTAATATGTAATAGGATATTATAATATAATGTATCTATATAGACTAATATATAACAAAATATTATAGTTTATTTAATTATATTTTAGCTAACCAGATTATATTGTATCTTTGTAGACTAAAATGTATTGGAATAGATCACCAAAAAATTATGTTGGATAATATAGTATATTTTGTCATAAAATTTCAGTTAATTTTAGCTGATTATATAATATAATACTGGTTAAATTTATAGCATATGATTTGAGAATCCAATTCAGTATTATAAAGCTGGTGAGAAATAAGCAGGAAACCAGAAGTAATTCTATTAGTTTACTAGTTTTAGATCACTTTTATGCTAGCTTGGATGCTGAATTTACTTATAATCCTACCTTTATATTTTCATTTGATTGCTGGATTGTGACACAAAATGCCAAACTTGCAATTCCATATATTTTTCTCTTGATTATTATTTCTTGATTGCTAGATGAAACACAAAGTATCTAATTTGCAATTCTGACATTTGTTAAAAATATACCGTAATCTATTTACTATTGCTAGATGAGACAGAATCCTGAATACAAAAAAATTATATAGTGAACCTTATCATACATTTTTAAAATTTTAAGAAAAACTTTGTCATATAGTTACACCAATTTTCTTTTTAAATAATGATACTACCCAATTTTTGTTGTATACTTAATAAATTATGAGTAAAAATATTTGTTGTACACTCAATTAATTAAAAATGATTAATTGTACAATCAATTAATTATTGTAAAAAGATTTATTATACATTTATATCCAAATTAAAAATTATTATTATACATTTGTCATACACTTTATATCAAATTAGAATATTGTTATACATATTATCTCAATTTTGGCAATTTGAGTTATTTTTCAATTTAATCTTGTCAGTTATTTTTGAAATCGCAAGTCATGATCTATCTAATAATTATTGTAAGTATTATTTTAGAATCCATCATAAATAGTAAATCTTCTAAAGGAAATCAAAACAATAAATTGTATGTTCAAACTAAACTTAATTTTCAATATTTGCTGAACCTATATAAACTACTGCAAGTCAAAAAAAAGGAAAACATATTAACCATTTGTGTCTACTAATACCTGAAAAAAAAAATGATCTAAAATCTAACATTACTTTTCTAAAGCAAAAATCACCAAAATTGAATGATATGCTCTTTGATAAAAATTTGAAAAAATTGGATAAAAGGTATATATATTGTCATTATTGTGATATGAGAAAACTAATTACCTTACATAAGCCTAATGATGGAGCTCACTTATAGTCACATGAGGCCTTTACAATAGAAAAGAGAGAAACAGATAGAAAAATCAAAAATGAGTTAATGTTAAATTTGAATATATTTCAGCCTAAAAATCATATTTGATATATAAAACTAAAATTAATTTTTCCTAGCAGTTTCTCCTTTTCTATTGCAAAGACCCCACATTTTAATATACAATTACATATTGATAATAAGGCAAATGCTGATCAAAATGCATATACAAAGTCACGAATAACCTTTATTTCTCAATTTATAACTAATTGTGATCAATCTAATAATGATATGGAATACAATTCACAATATAAAGGTAAATAATAATTTTTTTGTTTAATTATTCCTAAAATGGATATAGAAAATACTAATATAATAATTGTTCAACCTGCAATAGAATTTACTCTTATAAATATGCTGTATTAGCAAAATATAGAACCAAATATAAAGATTATCAAATTTTACAAGATGATACCTTTTTGATGGAAATAAAAGAGCAAAAGAATACTTCAAACATAATAATTGTATAGAAAAAACCAAATCCTGATTTTGTTCACAGTGCGTATCTTTAGCTTATAATGAAGCTTTTAATAAACATAACAAACATATACAAACCCTTATAGCTCAAATTGATTGTTTATTTCTTCTAAAAAAAAGACAAAATTTTCTTAAAATTTACATAGTTAATATAACCATAGTCAATAGCTTATAATAAATTATCAATAGCTTTATGAAACTGTTACAAATACAATTAAACATCAACCTGGAACAATCACATCTGATGCTCTTAAAAAACTTCTTAATTATCTCAATACTGAACTTAAGAACTATTCCTATCATTTACTTATTGAATTATATATGGCACTTAATCAAATCCTTGAAGCTGTTGAAAAAAATAGACTTAAAGATTGGGGTTGCATAATGTATAACTTTATGATTAATAAAATTATGGATGAACAATGTCCAGATTTTTTGGCATAGCATGAGTGATTATTAAAGTTCTTAATAAGGTAGAATATTAAGTAACATCTATACGTAAAATTGGGTAATACAATGATAGTTTTGTAGATTTTCTTATTGTATTAATATCAATTAGTACATTATCAGTTTGATGGATTACTGCAAATCTTGCTGGTCCAACAATTTAATTTATATGTAAAAAAGAAATGATAATAATGGATTTTTTAATATTTATAGAATCAATTCTAATGTATTTACAGAGCTTATTACTATTTAGCATTTATTATATAACTATTATAGTCTAATAATATATGCAAAAAATTAAACAAAAGTTGCTGAAATGATTAAAGTTGTAGAACATATCAATAATGAATAGGATCAGTTCTAATTGATACTTCAATAATACCTTATTTTAATGACTTCTGAGGAACTCTATGCCAAAATTTCAGCATTTAAAAAGCCATATATATTATCATTTTTGCATTATCGGCTATTTTGCTAGGTATTCCACTATTAGTTCTAGCTAGTATACCATCAAATCAAAAAGAAACTAAAACTGATACATTTCTTAAAGTAATACTATTTTAAAAGAGTTAGTAAAATTGAATGCTAAACCTATTGGGTTTTATTTTGATAGTGCTTCACATGATCAGTCTTGAATTGAAGAAACTTATAATAAAAATTTGTCAGTTTTCCATGAACTTGATATTACAATGATATATATGTATAGCATTTCAATTATTATATTTATACTATTTATTATTTTGTTAACCTATTTAATATTCTAGAATGATACATTTTTTACAAGAAATTTTCCAATTGAGATGAGAATGTTTAATAATGATCAACCTTTAATTAGTGAAACTGATGTTTTTCACTGTATTAAGAAAGGTAAGTTAATTTAAAACTTTATGTTTTTAATAAATATTAAGTTAATAAATCAAATATTCAATATTGAAAGGTTAAAATATGTATAATGAATGTGCTCACATTTGTCTAATTAGTAATTATATTATGATAACAAAACATCTTTGGTATTTAAAAAAAAATATGAAAATAGATCAGATTTAACAAATGAAATACTAAACCCAAAAGATAAATAATCAGATGAATTTGCCGAAAGATTTTTTTCTTCTAATGTACTAAAGGTAATAAAAAATTGTTATTATAACCTAATTGGCTTTTTTAACTATAGTTTGACATGCTATTAAATATAATGATAATTCATTTTATGGAGATGCTTTGTATTATTTCTTTGTAGGATTGTTATTTGAGTCATAGAAAACTTATACAATAGATCACCTAAATAGGATTCAGTTAGCAATGATATTTTTTTCTACAACGTGACATTACTTAAAATCAAATCAAAATCAAAAAAACTCTCAAAAATATGACATATCTTAGCAATTAAATGATAACTTTATTTAACCTAGTCTTACTTTAATTCTTCTAATTCACTAATTTTCAAATTATTATCCCAGAATTTCATTATGTCCTTAGCTTACCTTTACTGCTTTTTAGAATACATATTTGGCTATATACGACAAATTATAGAAGATTTTATTATTTTAGATTTTTTAATGATAAATGAAAAAATATTTAAGACAATTTCAATTGAAATGAAAAGTAAGGATTTTTATTAAGATTTATTTATTATTAATTTATATAAAAACATTTTTTTAAAAACAAATATGTATTTTTGGCTTTTAAGGAAATCTGATATAACCAGATAATAATGATGAATATAATATCTGCCTCATAACTGTAATGACAAACTTTTTGAAACCTTATCAGATTTTCCTAATATATTTAATATAAATTCTAATATGGGGTGTGAGCTAGGAAAATGACCTTCTGAGATTAATTTACCATTTTGAGTAAATGATAAACAAAGCTTTTT